TTTTTTTTTTTTTCTAGAGAGAGGGTTTTGCTGTGTTGCCCAGGCTGGTCTCGAACTCCCGAGCTCTAGTGATCTGCCCACCTTGACCTCCCAAATTGCAGGGATTAAAGAGGTGAGCCACCATGCCTGGCCTTTTTTGCTGCTTATGTCTTTTTAGTTTATAAATGGATTGCCTGTCTCAGTCCCTCAGGTTGCCAGTTGTTCGTTCTAAGAAAATGGATTTAAGTGGATTTATTAACTTCCCTCTGCTTTATGTGTTCTCATTTCTTCCTGTGTTTAATTTGTTTGCAACTGACTGCAAGGCCTCTGAGGCATGGGAATTCACAGCTGAGTTCTTGGAGAAGGTCCTTGAGCCATCTGGATGGCGGGCAGTCTGGCACATAGTGTGCCCAAGGTGCTGCTTGAGGTAAAGTTAATTTTGTTGTTAAGACATTTGTCTCAAGCTATAAGCACTTTACTTTAGACTCTTAGAGCCAAAGTGCTTATTTTTAATTAAAGTTTATGAGCTGATTGAAATAGCATGTTTTTCACATCTAATTGCCGTGGTGTAGGAAGTGTTCCGCAAATTTTAAAGGCAACTGAGGAGGAGCTATAGGGAATTAAAGTGGCTTAAGTTTCAGTGTCCTTTGACAAGGGAAACTGGATTATAAACCTAAGAAGTGGAGGAAGTATTTGAGATCATTTAAAAAATGAGGAGGCCTAATTATGAGATCAACAGTTTCCATTAATTTTTTACCTTCTTAGTTGAAACCCATTAAGTAGCTCAAACCAAAGAGGCATTTTAAAGCTATCCCATTTTGGCCTAGCAAATTTGTAGCTGTGTGGTTACTCTTGATAATGTGTCTCATTGCAGAAAGTAAAAACAATCTTATTTTTCAACTGACTGGGCCTTTTACATTAAATTTGCACTCTAATTACAGCTGTGAATTTTTCTCAGCGTTTGTTAACTGAACCAAAAAAAGCCCCGTTAAGATAAAATGTTAAACCAGGGAGCGCGCGTACAAGTTGTTGCTGCAGCTCCTTTAGAAAATGGCATTGCATACTGCAGCAATTATGAACGAGGCAGTCGGTTGTAGCTGTTCCTTGTGAGTTTTTAAGTTTTGGATTATGCTAATATCTTCGGTTGAAGTTCAGGCCTTTTCATTGGGTTATGATGGTGTCTGCCCCTCCTGCCCCCATCACTTCTCTAAAAGCAGTCAAAGTTATTATTTTAAAAGAGAAGTCTGCAATTTCTCTGCTTAAAACTACTAATGCATTGTATTTACCAAGGACCTCGTGTTGGCTTTATGGCTTCTCATTGTGCTGGAGATCATGTAAAACCCAAGCTCCTGAGACACTATGTCCTGGTCTTTTGGCCTTTCTCTCCCACCTCATCTCTCGCTGTTTCTCTCCTGATCTTCCCCTCCCTGTTTCCTCTGTTTGGCTTCCGCAAGAAGAGCTGCCTTTCTGTTCCTTCAGTGACCAAGCCTGTCTCTGCCAAAGGCCCCTTACCTCTTCCCTGCTCCTCAGATGGCTGCTTCCTTTTCATTCTCAGCTCCGAGATGACTTCCCCTGGCCATCAGTAGTCAGTAGTGTTTTTACGTGGAGTTGAATTTTTATTTTCATGTGTTAAGTCACATTCCTATATGTTTTAGGCCACAGATGTGGACATTTCAGTCTTTTTTTTTTTTTTTTTTTTTTTGAGATGGAGTTTCGCTCTTGTTACCCAGGCTGGAGTGCAATGGCGCGATCTCGGCTCACCGCAACCTCCGCCTCCCGGGTTCAGGCGATTCTCCTGCCTCAGCCTCCTGAGTAGCTGGGATTACAGGCACGCACCACCATGCCCAGCTAATTTTTTGTATTTTTAGTAGAGACGGGGTTTCACCATGTTGACCAGGATGGTCTCGATCTCTTGACCTCGTGATCCACCCACCTCGGCCTCCCAAAGTGCTGGGATTACAGGTGTGAGCCACCGCGCCCAGCGACATTTCAGTCTTATAAGGCAGTGGTGCAGCTTGCTGAGCCCTACCTCTGTGAATCTTGAGTGAGCGCTTTGAACTTGGAGTGTATGAAAGAACTCCTTGAGCTGAAGGAACATCAGTGGTGGTGGTTGGTGAATCTGGAGTGTTTGACCAGACAGCACTTATAACTGAGCATATCAGGTCGGATGGGAAGTTGATAAAAATAACCTTGTGGCCAGAAACTTTGGATGAATTGAAGTAATTCTGCTCTGTGTTAGACCCGGCTTTAAAATTCAAACTGTAAACTTGGTCATGGCAATATTTTAAAATATTCAATGATAGGAGAATCTTTTTTAAATAAAAAGTGTTTTAAATCATTTGGGATACTTTCAAACTCACAGAAAAGTTAAACAAAAATAGTATAGTACTAATCATTCCTGTTTGTCTTTTACCTAGTTTCCCCGAATGTTAACAAAAGATATGAGATTCTTAATTTCTTTGTGTGTGTTTAGAAACTGACTTAGGGCCGAGCGTGGTGGCTCACACCTGTAATCCCAGCGCTTTGGGAGGCTGAGGCAGGCGGATCATGAGGTCAGGAGTTCAAGACCAGCCTGATCAACATGGTGAAACCGCGTCTCTACTGAAAATACAAAAATTAGCCAGTATGGTTGCACCCGCCTGTAATCCCTGCTACTCAGGAGGCTGAGGCAGGAGAATTGCTTGAACCCAGAAGGCAGAGGTTGCAGTGAGCCGAGATCGTGTCACCGCACTCCAGCCTGGGCAAAAGAGCGAGACTCCATCTCAAAAACCATAAATAAACTGACTTGAAAGTTATGGATGTGAAGGCTTATGGTTGGTATATTTGAATCTAAAAGGACAGAAAGGAAGAAGAAAGAAAGTGAAGAACTTTGTTTACCATGATGTACGCACTGATTAAACTAATACACATTTCTTCAAGGAGGTATCTGGTCAGAGAAGGTGTTTTCTGACACTGCTTCCCAGATCCCTAGGGAATGTGTTCCTGCCATTCAGCCTTGTTTGGCAGTTATTTCCACTTGTACAAGCAGACCCTTTGCCCCTTATGTGAGAAAGAAAGCTCATACCTGGGCTCATAATAATAGGTGTGATTTAAAATTTTTTTCAGACTAATCTATCATATAGTGCCTGATACAGAGAGCTCTTTTGGATTTCCTATATATATTCACTGAAGAAGGCTACTTTTAGCCACGTAAAAATGGACTTATATTCCTCTAGTAACTGGAAAACTGGCTAATGCAATGATCATACTCTTAATGTTGCTGGTGGTTTGTAGTTTTGAAAGTACTTTCTTGTTTCTGTACCATTAGTGAGTTAACCTGGTTGTGCTAAGCTTAGTTTAAATACTTGATAAAGAAGCAGAGGGCCTCAGACCCTGCTTCCAACATCTTATGGACAATCTCTAATTGCATGCAAGAACATTTAACCCTGGGTATTCAGTATTAAGCCAAGCAATATAAATCTGAAGAACTGGTTTCTGTCCAGGACCAAAATAACTCCCTTATGTTTCTCTTGCTTTAAAATAATCTGTCTGTCAAAGCATTTGGAGGTGAAGGAATAACTAATGAGTTTAGGAAATTAGAGAGGGTATAGGATTTGGTAGAAAGACAAGTACCTGGAACTGAAAAGAGTTCCTGTTAAGGAAGAGGAGCCTGGTTACATTTACTCTCCACGTGGAGGACTCAGATTCTGGTCAGTGCCTAGAGGTCAGATTATGAGGGTTTTCATTTGCCTATTGATTCAATAAGTGTTTGAGTGCTGGGTTCTTAGTTGAGGGTGGGGTATGACTAGCTGAGGGTTGCACAAAACCAGCACCTTCACTGGGGATCTGCCAGTCTAAAGGATGGAATAGTCAAAGAAAGATGTAGATGCGATTGGAAGTGGCAGTGAGCACCATGAACTGCAGAGTGTCCTAACACTGGGTCAGGTTGCTGTTCTCTGCTTACTTCCTGAGGAAATGACATTCAAATTTGGGTCTAAAAGGTGAAAAGAGTGGCAGATGAAAGGGGTGGCAGAAATGGGGGAACAGGTTCAGGAACTCAGTGGGTTTAAGGAGCTGCAAGGTCAGTGTGGCCAGAGCACAGTGCTGGGAGAGACCTAGGAAGCCAGGGTAGAGAGGTTGGCAGAGCTCAGGAGGTTCAGGGCTCTGTCAACCAGTGAATCATTTTTTAAGAGCATGAAGAGCCATTGACGGGTTTTTATTTTGGGGTGAATTTGACTTGCTTTGTGTTTTAAAAAGTTCATTCTGGCTGCTGTGTGGAAAACAAATGGAGGGAGATGCAAAAGGGATGTGGCGATATGGAGGGGTCCAGAGCCAGGATACGAAGGGGTCTAGAGCGGGGGATATGGAGGGGTCTTGAGTGTGGATACAGAGGGGCCTACAGTGAGGATATGGAGCAGTATGGTGTGGGGATACGGAGGGGTCTAGAGTGGGGATATGGAGCAGTGTAGTGTGGGGATATCGAGGGGTCTAGAGTGGGGGATACGGAGGGGTCCAGAGTGGGGGATATGGAGGGGTCCAGAGTGGGGGATATGGAGGGGTCCAGAGTGGGGGATACGGAAGGGTCTAGAGTGGGGGATACGGAAGGGTCTAGAGTAGGGGATACGGAGGGATCTAAAGTGGGGATACAGAAGGATCTAGAGTGGGGATATGGGAGGATCTAGAGTGGGGATACAGGAGGGATCTAGAATGGGGATGGAGGCTTGTTGAGAAAGTAGAGTAGCTGGGCCTTGGTGGTCTAGTGGTTACGAAGGATGAAACATGAGTGGATGTGAAAGTCAAGGCTGATACCCATGCTTCTGGCTTGAAGGGATAAACACTGGGGAGGTGCAGATGTGAATGATGTGTAAGTGCCTGGCAT